GCTCGTTTTTTGGTGCTGGTGCTGGGGCTTGAACTCAGGGGCTTTGCGCTCTCTCTTGGCTTTTTCATTCACAGCTGGTGTTCTACTACTTGATCCTAGTCCAGCATTTTGCTGGTTCATTGGGAGATGGAGTCTTGCACTTTTTTTTCTTTTTTGTCAGTTGTAGGGCTTGGACTCAGGGCCTGGGCACTGTCCCTGGACTCTTTTCCTCAAGGCTAGCACTTCAGCACTTGGAGCCACAATGCCACTTCTGGCTTTTCAGTGATTCACTGGAGATAAGAGTGTCACTGAGCTGGGAAGATGGCTCAGTGGTAGAGCGCTTGCCTTGCATGCATGAGGCCCTGGGTTGGATTCCTCAGCACCACATAAGCAGAAAAAGCCAGAAGTGGAGCTATGGTTTAAGTGGTAGGGCACTAGTCTTGAGCTGAAGAGCTGAGGGACAGCGCCCAGGCCCAGAGTTCAAGCCCCATGTCCGACAACTCCCCCCCCCCCCCCAAAAAAAAAAAAAAAAAAAAAAAAAGAAGTGTCACAGACTTTCCTGCCCGGGCTGGCTTTGAACCTTGCTCCTCAGACCTTAGCCTTCTGTGTAGAGCTAGGATTACAGGCATGGCTTCCAGTGCCCAGCACTCTTTCTGGTTAAATAACTACAAGGTATTTACCATCCTCTTTTATTTACTGAACCTACAAGATTGGCAACAGTAGTCCACCTCTAAAGTTGTGCTAGGAATCGAATGACATGATTTGTATGAAAAGTAGAATAGAAAGGCTTGGCTTATAGCAGGTATCTAATTGTCATCTCCCACCCCATCTTCCATAAATTCTAATATTTAAGAGTCTTCTACTCATGACAGTTATTATCCTATGGATTAACTAATTCAATCCATATAAAAATTCTACCAGACTGGGGAGATAATTCACTGGCAGCATGCCTGTAAGCTTGAGCAAAGATATGGGTTCAATTCCCAGGGTGAATAGAGAATGAATTTAAAACAGTTCATTTACATTTGAGATAAAGTCCTTATTAGCTGAGTTACTTGTTTGTCCTTCAATACTCCGATCCCTACCTTCTAGCCTTTATGTAACAACTACCTCTTGTCAGGTGAGAGTCAAGTAATTCTTTCACGCCTCAACAATTACGTGCACCTCTCTAGCAGGGCGCTGATGGCTCACACCTGTAATCCTAGCTACTCAGGAGGCTGAGATCTGAAGATTGCAGATGGAAACCAGACTTGGCAGATAAATCTGAGAGACTCATCTCCACTTGACCAGCAGAAAGCCAGCGGTGGAGGTGAGGCACAAGTGTTAAGAGTGTCAGCCTTGAGTGAAAGATCTTTTTGTTGTTGTTGGGCACCAGTACTAGAATTCAGTACCGGTGCTTCTACTCACTAGCTGGCGCTCTACCAACCCAGCCACTTATCTAAACCCTTGGGTGAAAGATCTAAACGACAGTGCCCAGGCCCTGAGTTCAAGCCCCAGTAGTGGCAAGCATGCACACACACTAACTTTGCCTCTATGCAAACTCAACACAAGCTGCCATCTACTAGAACTAGACTCTCAGAAACTATGATTTATATATATATATATATTTTGTATTGGTCATGGGGCTTGAACTCAGGGCCTGGGCGCTGTTCCTCAGCTCTTCAGCTCAAGGTGAGCACTCTACCACTTGAGCCACAGCGCCACTTCCAGTTTTCTGGTGGTTAATTTGAGACGAGAGTCTCATGGACTTTCCTGCCCAATGTGGCTTTGAACCACAATCCTCAGATCTAGAATCCTTTTTTCTTTTTTGTTAGTTGTGGAGCTTGAACTCTGGGCCTGGGCGCTAACCCTGAGCTCTTCAGTTCAAGGCTAGCACTCTACCTCCTGAGCCATGGTGCCACTTCTGGTTTTCTAGTGGTTTATTGGAGATAAGGGTCTCATGGACTTTCCTGCCCGGGCTGGCTTTGAACCATGATCCTCAGATCTCATCCTCCTGAGTAGCTAGGATTACAGGCATGAGCCACCGGTGCCCAGCTACTTTTTTTTTTTAAATATACTTTTGTAACCTCAAGTGCTGAGCTGATCAGATGAAGACCTTCTGGTCTCAGATGCTGGAGCTGGAACCATGGTACCTTTACCCAGTCATCCTTCTTCCCACACAATCTCCCGATTTCATGTTGACAAAAATCTTCACATTGCATGCTCTTCTCTTCCCAAAGCCAGTTCCTATCTTGGGCCTCCTCCTTTCAGTGTTTTGTGACAAGAGAACTTAGCTGTGGGTTCCTTGCCCTGTTCACAGTCCAAATGCCTTCTAGATGAACACAGCTACACACTTCCACCGCATCCTTCTCTCTACCCCTCTCTCTTTCATGAGCTAGCATAGAAGCTGGTGTTTATGTCAATAGGTATTGTAAAGTACCTATCAGGGCACAAGCTATGTGTCAAAAGTGAATAAATGAGAGAGAGAGAGAGAGAGAAAGGGAGAGAGAGAGACACAGAGAGAGAGAGACCCTAACTTGGAACTTTGCAAGGTAGGAAATCCTTTCCAATGACAGGAAGAGACGCTTGGTGTCCCAGCCCTACAATGTGTGCACATCCTCACCCTCCTGCCGATACGCCGGGCTGTCCGGATCCGGCAGAGGCTGAACAGCCAAAGGCCACCGACACCGGGGAAGCAGGACAACCACCTGCTTATGCTGGCTTTTACCAAACAAGCCTAGCCACCAGCTGTTGCAAGAGGAAAGGTGGGAACAGGAAATGCCAGCTCAGCCTGAAGCTAGTTGTTTCCTGGCTGGCTAGGGGTGAGGGCTAGAGAAGTCCCCAGAAAGGGTATGGTCATTTTCTTTTCTCTCTCTTTCTTCTTGTTGGTCATGGGGCTTGAGAACTCAGGGCCCTGGCACTGTCAGTTTAGTAAGAGTGCAAGGCTAGCACACTCTTACTACATTGAGCCACAGCTTTCACTTCTGGTTTTCTGGTGGTTCACTGGAGATGAATCTCATGGATTTTTCCTGCCTGGGCTGGCTTTGAACTATAATCCTTAGATCTCAGCCTCCTGAGTAGCTGGATGATAGCATGAGCCACCAGCACTCAGCTTTGTCTCCTCCCTCCCTCCCCTCTCACTTTATCTCTTTCCTCTCTTCTGAGGGACAAAGGGTTAGGTGAAAAGTGCCAAGGAAGCCTTTCTTCCCCCAACTCCTTTCTTTGTGCCAGTACTGAGGCTTGAACTCAGGATCTTAGTGCTCACTGTCCATTAGTCTTTTTGTTCAAAGTCCTGACACTTGAGTCACAACTCCACTACTGGCTTTTTTTGGTGGTTCACTGGAGATAAGAGTCTTACGGACTTTCCTGCCCAGGCTGGCTTTAAACTGTGACCCTTAGATCTCAGCCTCCTCAGTAGCTGGGATGACAGCTGTGAGCCACCGGCGCCCAGCTAACAGGATCATTTTGAAACGGCCACCAGGCAAAAGAAGGAAAAATGCATCCTGTTCACCAATACAGCAGGCCAGTGGAATCACAAGCACATGTGTGATGAACCCCCCAGGCCCTTGACTCCATGTTCATTCCCTCCCTTTTCTCGACTGACCCCTGGGTATTATCAGGACCCTGGGTCCACACACAGATGACATTTCTCAGCCTTTCTAATGCTGCGCGAGTCACGTGACTGCATTCCGGCCAAATTAAGTGCAAGCGTGGCGTAGGACTTCCAGGAAGCCTCTTGGAAATCCACGGTTGTCCTTTTTGTCCTTGCTTTCTTCTCTTTCTGCTGCCAGGAATCTCAGGCTGCTGGCTGCTGGCCAAGTGGCTATTTTGGACCGTGAGGTGACCTTGAGAAAAAACCATGCTGTGGCCCAGACAGGGGCTGGCCTGCTGGTTTTGGACAGGCTACTCTTGGCTCACATTCCTCTGTGAGGCTCACAGTTCATATTGAGCCCTGGCTGATGTGAGTTTCTGTTAAACATAGTCAAATGCAATCCCAGCTCTCATGCCCCGGATAATCCTTGGCACTTCCAACCCTCTCAAGCGTGGTGGTTTGTTGCATGATTCTGTTGTAACAACACTAGAAGACAGCTGAGGCATGCTCTGTGTCAGAGAGGAAAGGAGTTAAAACCAACAAAGCCTGCCCGAGGCCACCCAGCCAGCCAGCTCCCTGGGCAGGCCGTGGCTCTCCCGGCAGCTGCCTCTCCCAGCCCTACCCTGATGATTTTACAAGCAGGTGGAAGCTTCAAGCCCCATGCCGAAGGCTCACATTTAGTCACCCAGGCGGCTGAGAGCTGAGGATGACAGTTTGAAGCCAGCCTGAGCAGGAAAATCCGTGAGGCTAATATTTCCAATTTACCAGCAAAAAGCTGGAAGTGGAGCTGTGGCCTAAGAGGTATAGTGCCAGCCTTGAGCAAAGAAAGAAGACTTCACCTAGGCCTTGGGTTTGAGGACTAGTACTAGTACAACACACAAAACAGCTGGGAAGAAACAGGTAACCAGTCAGTTTAAATCATTCTTGATTGAGTCCTTAAGCTGCTTTTTTGCTCAAGGCTAGTGCTCTACCACTTGAAATATAGCTCCACTTCTGGCTTTTTTTTTAAAAAAATTGCAGTTAAGAGTCTTATGGACTTTCCTGCCTGGGGTGGCTTTGAACTGTGACTGTCAATCTCAGCCTCCAGAGTAGCTAGGATTACAGACAGGCGTGAGCCACCAATGCCTGGATAGTGGCAGTTATGTTTAAAAACCAAGTCTTTAGCCATGTGTCAAAAGATCAACTGCCAGGGCATCCTATGAGCCGACTCCAGAGTACCACTGCCCCCTAAAATGAGTCAGAAGTCACTGTATTGTCATTGCAGTTTTGTTACTGCAAGAGCTGCATCATCAGACAGGTGAAGAGACATTGTGAATGGGCAATTAGTGAATGAATGTGGTGCTGTTTCCAAAGCCCCAACCTGATGATTCATGTGGAGCTGAGTCTTCAAGGGGGGAAAACGCAGAGGCAGGACTTTTTCTCTTTACCATGCAAGCAAAACCGGATCCGGTGGGTTCCACATAGAAAAGTTTTAATGAGACAAATGTCAAGCAACCACATCAACTTCTTTAAAAAAAAAAAAAAAAAAAGACAACGAAGAAAACCAAAAGTTTAATTACAAAAACACTTGTACGGAAAACTTGGCATTTCAACAGTCCCAAACACATGTACGTTTTTTTTTCTTCTAAAGTTTGTCAGAAACAAAACACCTCTGTCTCCCTTTTCCTCAGCTGCTCCTTGTTTTAAGACAAATAAAAAAGGGAAATGTGTGAACACTCGGAGCCAACAGCTTATTTCTTGAGAGAACCATGGGCGTGTGGTCACATCGAGGAATTTGCTAGAAAACAAGAAGTCTCTGTCCCTTATGGGTGGAGGAGAGGGGGGTGCACAGACCTGCTCCCCAGAAGCTGGCAGTGATGACGGCTGACACCCGGCGAGGCGGGGTCAGGGGCGGTGCCCCGGAGGGCTGGCACTGGACTCTGATGCCACTGCGACGACTCCCCAGGGATCCAGCTACACATTTGAATATGCAAATGAGCCCAGTCACGGACAGGATGGCAGAAGGCACAGGCTTTCCCAGTCACCACAGTGATGCCACCAGGGCTGCAGGAACAGCTCCCGCGGGCGAGAGCGGCAACAGCAGGGGTGGGAGGCTGGAGGGAAGGACAGGAAGCAGCTGGCGGGGGGCAGCCGGGGGTGTCCTGCGGCTACAGACACTGAGTTCCAGCTTGGCCTTCACAGTCAAGGACTCTTACGACGTGGCCCAAACAGCAGATGAGAGCCGGGAGAGGGGAAAACGCTGCAGTGGAGCTGCCTGGCTCTACAGCACGACATAACCAAGGGGTGCTCAGTGCCCCCAAACTGCCAGGTGCTGGCATGTGGGCTTCAGTGCACAAAGTTGTTTTTTTAATTGTTGGTGCCCCCCCGCCTGCCTTGGATTTCGTGAGATGTCGGGGGGAGGACATCCGGCCATGTAGTGGGGTTCACCCTGCACCAGGAAGGACACAGTGGTGAGAGGGCTGCATGCCCGCCCCGTGCCTTTGGTGGGGGGGGCAGATAATCGGCGCTTGGCTGCCGACGTTACCCCTGTACCCCAGAGCGGAGAGGAAAGCAGGACCCCAGGCCAGGCAGAGCCCGTTCTGCTCTTACTAAGGTGAGGGAGAAGGCAGGGGATTTTTTTTTCATACAGATGCAGCGGTCAATGGCCACAGGACAAAGCATGCGTGAATCCCCCATGCCCTCTGCCATTTATTTCCTCCTGGGCCACCTGTGTACCCCAAGTAGACCTAGGGACCCCCATTTCCACTTGGAGTAATCTTGGGCTTGTTTTGGCTTTCTCCCTTCCTCCTGTTTACCAGTGACCTTTTCCTCCACAAAAAGAAATGCTCCACAAGACACTGCCAACAGATGGGGGCAGGAGCGCTTGGCTGGGGCCTGGCTGGGGCGGGACTGCACGGGAGTGCAGCCCGAACAGCATGGGGGGAACGGGGGCAGGAGGGGAGCAAGCCTGCCTTCCTTCAGGCCGGCAATCATGGTGCCTGCTGAGGGCCGGCCCCCACTGCGCCCACGAGGGCTGGGAACACAGCCCTGCTCCACAGGGCTCTGTCAACAAGAAGCTCCTTTCTTCCCAAGCTCAGCAGGGCGATGATGGGAGAAGATTGGGACCATCCAATGAGAGAGGCTCTCCAGAGCCCTGCTGCGCCCAAGCCCAGAGGTCAGAAAATGGAGATGTACAACTTGGTATGGGTGAAGGAAAGGAAAAAAAAAAAAAAAATCCACCCAAAAGGCGTAAGAAAAAGTGACAGCTAAGTAAAAAGCAGACAAACAAAAAATCTGGAGTGTCACCCATTGAGGGGTCCAATCGGAACTGCCACAAGGGGAAGTCTTCCTGTCCATGGCAGGTGGCAGCCCCAGGGGAGGGGCCGGGCCGCACAGCCTCAGGAGGGACAGGGCCGGTCTGCAGGTCAGTCCCACGCGCCCCGGCCTGTGGTCTCCTGGGGGGAGGGTATTTCACACACACCAGCCTCCCCCCTGGAATCCTCAGTCCTCCTCTGCTGCTCTCAGTTCAAATTTCCACAGATGGCTTCTCATTCCACACAAGCAAAAACACAGAACATCTTGGATCCCTAAGACCTGGAGAGTTTGGGGGTAAGGAGAGGGGAGACACCAGATAGAAAACTATTGATTAGTTGGGGCTGGACACTCAAGAAATGCCGTGAGCTGCGAGTGGCGACCTGCGCCTGTTTATCTCAGCTACTTGGGAAGCTGAGATCAGGGCTGTGGTTCCAGATCAACTTGTGTGTGTGTGTGTGTCTGCGTGTGGTTGCAAGATGGCATCTGAAAAGAAGAGAGGTGGGCTACTGCTGGAAGTGTAAATAGGAGGACTGGGGTCCAGGCTGGCCCTGGCAAAAAGTGAGACCTGACCAGGCATGGGTAGCTCACGCCTGTCATCCTAGCTACTCAGGAGGCTGCCACTTGAGGATCATGGTTCAAAGCCAGCCTGGGCAGGAAAGGCCGTGAGACTCTCATTTCTAACGAACCACCAGAAAAATGGAAGTGCAGCTGTGGCTCTAAGTGGTAGAGTGTCAGCCTTGAGCAAAAAAAGCTCAGGGATAGCGCCCAGGCCCTGAGTTCAAGGCCCATAACTGACCCCAAATCAAAACAAACAGAAAGAACCTCCAATGAGATCTTATCTTAGGAGTAACCAGTGCAAAAAGGGCTGGGAAGTGGCTCAAATGGTAGAGGGCCAGTTTAGCAAATTGAAGCTCCGAGTTCAAATCCTAGTATTGACCAAAAAAAAAAAAAAGGTTAAGGCAAGGAGTAGTTTCTATAAATCAGAGAGCTCATAAAGCTGCAGTCACCCTCACTGAGGTATATGGGGTAACAATTCCATGAGAAGTGTGGCCTGCCTAGTTCCAATTCTGGAACAACAAAAAGCACTAGTTGCTGAACACAGAAAAGCAACTATCAGAGACCAATCTGATGAGGGGAAATTAGTATCCTACTTTAGCACCAAGAACTGCGTGGTCAATCAAAACCAATTTTCTTCAAGCATAAATCTAAGGATATTTGTCTGTGTAGGAATGTGTTATATGTTATGCTCAATAAAATGTTCTTTTTGGTTGGGCTCAGTAATCCTACCTACCCAGTGGTCTGAGATCTGGAGGTTCACTGCCAGAAGCTAGCCTGGGCAGGAAACTCCATGAAACTCCACTTTTCAGAAATGACCATCAAAGAGCTGGGCTGAAGGCATGTCTCAAGAGGCAGAGCACCAGCGGAGCTGGCAATTGGAGAGGCCCTGTATTTTGAATGTCAGTACTGCTGCCCTTTTCCCAAATGGTTTTTTTTTCTCCCTCCTCCAATTCTCAAACAGCCAAGTATTTATCATTTGATTCAACTGGAACTGGGTAACACATGGGTTTTAATGGTTCAGATAAAAGCAGTCACCTCTCCAGAAGGCACGGCGGCTCCTCCTGGGTCTCTGGGAGTGCAGGAGTGAGCGAGACAGAGGGAAGGTGAAGTAGAGTCACTCTTCCATCTAACCTGAAGATGGCCAGCCAGAAGTCTCTAATGTCATCATGGACTGGAACCTTTTTTTTTTTTTAAATTTTTGATCGGTTGTGGGGCTTGTACTTCTGGTTTTTGAGTGGTTCACTGTAGATAAGAGTCTGGAGGACATTCCTGCCTGGGCTGGCTTTGAACTGCGATCCTCAGATCTCAGCCTCCTGAGTAGGATGACAGGATGACAGGGGTGTGCCACTGGCGCCCGGCAGGCCTAGAACCTTTTCTACACCTCTAATGCTCTAGCGCAAGGTTTTCCTTGCCTCTGGAGGGCAGGTTTCCCTCCGTGCTCTGTTCGTGGCGTCTGCAGGCACGCTGCGGGCACTCTCCCCTCTGTGGGATCCAGTTTCTCTGAGTTCTGGACGTTCTTCTGAAAGGCGGGGACCCGGAGCTCCCCTCCCGCCCTCCCTCCCTCCCTGGTTCCTGACAGAAGAGTGAAAGCTCTGCCAAGCTCGTGTCAGGGAAATTAATTGCACCACGAGTGCTGGGGACATCGGGCCTAGCTGTCCGTACATATTTGTATAATGAAGCCAGGCTAGTATTAATCACAACCTTTATAATTGTTTCATTTGACAGTGGCGGGGCGGCGCGGGGGAACTGGCTGTGCCTAGCTATGCTGGTTGCAAGAAGCTGTAGTAACAGCAGCTAGCATTTCCAGGTATTTTTTTTTCAAGGGCAAAGCATTTGTAGAACAGAATCAAGGGTAATGGTAATATTCCTCGCTTGTCTATGGCCCTTCTGCGAGCTCCAGTTTTTATACCCTTACCCTTAAGACAGAGCTCTAAGCGAATGCCTAGAGCTTATTGGCAAAGGCTTCAAATGGAAAACCACAGTCCTCGCTGCCCCGTGCACAGGAGGTGAGGAGACCGTGGCCCATCAATGACTGTTTGCTTTCACCTCTTCCATGCTGGCTCTCCCAGCTCTCTCCTTTCAAGCAAACAAGAGTGCTAATTGAAAACACTGTGTGAAGATGAGAAGGATGACGAGCTCCTGGAAATCCCAGGCTTGGATTTACAAGCTGTTCTCTTTTGGTGGCTGCGCAGCAGCAGCAATACCACTCCTTTGGCCTGCGGGGAGCACTGCCATTGAAGTACCTTCTACTCCATCTGGCTGCCTGCTATTGGAACTGGAGGCCTGATCCCACTCGGCATGGCTAGAGCTAAGCATCATGAACCAATTAGAGCAGTGGCCATCCAAAGGCAGGCCCTGAAGGCCAAAGATTTCCTTTTGTCATCACACATAACAAGTCAGGGATTTTTTTTTTTTTTGTCGGTTGTGGGGCTTGAACTCTGGGCTTGAGTGCTGTCCCTCAGCAGTTCAGCTCAAGGTGAATGCTCTTGAGCTATACAGCGCCACTTACGGTTTTCTGGTGATTTATCGGAGATAAGAGTTTCAGGGCCTTTCCTGCCCTGGCTGGCTTTGAACCGCAATCCTCAGATCTCAGCCTCCTGAGTAGCTTGGATTACAGGCGTGAGCCACCAGTGCCTGGCTTTTTTTTTTTGCCAGTCCTGGGGCTTGAACTCAGGGCCTGGGTACTGTCCCTGGGCCTCTTTTGCTCAAGGGTAGCACTCTACCACTTGAGCCACAGCGCCACTTCTGGCCTTTTTCTGTGTATGTGGTACTGAGGAATCGAACCCAGGGGTTCATGCATGCGAGGCAAGCACTCTACCACTAAGCCACCTTCCCAGCTCAAGTCAGGGATTTATTCTTTTTTTTTTTTTGTCGGTCGTGGGGCTTGAACTCTGGGCCTGGGCGCTGTCCCTCAGCTCTTCAGCTCAAGGCGAGCGCTCTACCACTTGAGCTACAGCGCCACTTCCGGTTTTTCTGGTGGTTTATTGGAGATAAGAGTCTCACGGTCTCTCCTGCCCGGGCTGGCTTTGAACCGGGATCCTCAGATCTCAGCCTCCTGAGTAGCTAGGATTACAGGCGTGAGCCACCAGCGCCCGGCTAGGGATTTATTCTTATACATGCTGTGCAAAGTCCAACCCAAGCTACAATATCAATTATGTATACACTTAGGCCTGCAGAATAAAAAGACTCCAACTCAGGATGCTTTGAAGGCATCCCCTGCAGTGGGCTCTGGCCTTCTCCGAGGCTGCTACACTGCACAGCCTCACTCTCAAGACTCTTCAACACTTCATGCATCTGCAGGCAACTTAATCATAGACCCCAGGGCTGCTAGTTTGGAGGATGGCATCCTGAAAGAGCACCGTATCTCTAGGAATTTCAGTGAACAAACACTGGCTCTAAGAAATGTTATCTGATGACCATTAAGGCCAAAAAAATCTGCAAGGGAAGATCTTTCTTTCCTCTTTGAGAAAATCATCTGTCTCTGTCTGACTATCTCTATCTATCTATCTATCTATCTATCTATCTATCTAATCTATCGCCAGTCTTTGGGCTTGGATTCAGGACTCAGCTGCTGTCCCTGATCTTTTTTGCTCAAGGCAGGAGCTCTACAAGAATTGGAACCACACTGCCACTTCTGGTTTTCTGGGGATTCACTGGAGATAAGAGTCTCACAGACTTTCCTGTCCAGGCTGGCTTTGAACCTCAATCTTCATATCTCAGCCTCCTGAGTAGATTATAGGCATGAGCCACCAGTGCCCAGCTTGAGGGATATATTTTTTAAAAAGCTTTTTCTTATTTAGTTATTGCTTATTCATAGAGCCAGGGCATCAAGTGTTCACACCACCATTTAACATGCAATAATCACTGTGTTATGGCGTGATAAATTAAATGCTTACTTATACAGGTGCCTCCCCCCTGCCCACTTCTCACTGACCCCCTGTAAGTCATTATGGATATTCACCAGGGAAAAGAAACATTCACAATTAAGTGGTATTTATTTTGTTCTGACAACTGGTTGGGTATGGTTTCTTCTAAATTTCTCACTGGTCTTCAAACCCCATTTTGGAACCTAACACCTGAAAATGTCAAAGCAAGAACTGAAGTCTAACCAACCACAAACTCCTGTTCTTCCATTACCATTAAGATCCATAAGTGAGATAAAACTGCTGGGATTCTGTTTTTCTAGTATTCTTTAGAAAGATTTTGCTGAGTGTTGGTGGCTTACACCTGTCACCTTTAGCTATTCAGGAGGCTGAGCTCTGAGGATCCTGGTTCAAAACCAGCCCAGACAGCAAAGTCTGTGAGACTCTTATCGCCAATTAATCGCCAAAGAGCCAGAAGTGGAGCTGTGGCTCAAATGGTAGAGTGCTAGCCTTGAGTGAAAAAGCTCAGAGACAGCACATAGGACTTCAAGCCCTGGTACTAATCCTAGAGTGCATGCGCGTGTGTGTTGCGCGCGTGTGTGCACGCACACACACACAAACACACACATTATTTGATCTTCAGTAACCCATGTCTCCACTCAGGGAGTGAAAGCCCGGGACTCAGTGGACCCACAGCATGAGGATGAGGACAGGGGCCGTGCAGGACCCACCAGGAACACTCACCGGTCCTAACGGTCCAGCCTGCTCACCACCTCTCGGACAGTGGCGATGAAGTTTTCATTGTCTTGGGGATTTGCTAAAATAATGCTGTGCAGTCTGTTCATGTAAGAGTCAATGGTGTCCAGGGTGGGAGTCTCTCCACTTCCTGAAATGAGGAGGGAGGGAGGGGGAGAGGGCGAGAGGGGGAGAGGGGGAGAAGGAGAGAGGGAGAGAGGGAGAGGGAGAGGGAGAGAGAGAGAGGGGGGGAGAGAGAGAGAGAGAGAGAGAGAGAGAGAGAGAGAGAGAGAGAGAGAGAGAGAGAGAGAGAGATACTTTCTTTCCCATTCAGTTCAACCCTAAAACATTCCAGGGAACCCACAGAAGGAGAAGTGGACTCTAAAGTGGTTTGCTCCACAAATATTTTAATTTTACAGGAAAGACTTTCAGGCCACAAAGAAACGAAATGAAAGCAGCTGAATGCGAGGAAGGCGGCAACTTTCTGCTGTGACTATTCTCCAAACAGGCTCTAAGCCCCTGTGCCTGTTTTCCTTCCCTTTGAATAGAGGGGACCTGGGGTACAGTGCGCCCCTTACACGGCTGGGCCTGCTGTCCCCCTCCCCCTTACCAGACGGCCCTCCCCCATCTTCCCTCCCACCTTACCAGGCAGGGGCATGCTGGCGAAGCTGCTGGCCAGCACCTGCCGCAGGGTCTCCAGGTGCTGCTGTAGGACTGCGTTGCGGCCCCGCTCCTGGACCACATCCCCTTCCAGCTTCTCCACTGCCGTGCGCATGCTCTCCACGTGCTTCTGTAGGGCCGCGTTCCTCTCCTCGAACTCCATGTTGGACTTGCGAAGCTGGCGGAGCTCTGCCTCGCGCGCTGAGGACACACAGGCCCCCCCACCCCCCAGAACCAGGCAGCGTGAGGAGGGGGCCTCGGAGGAGACCCGGTGACTCACTCACTCTTCCAAGGAAGTTCTGCTGAGCGTCTCTCATTAGCTCTCCCACCTCATCTTCGGATTCTCATTACGGCACTCCAGATAGCAATTTCAGCGATGAAACGCCTGGCTCCCCAGAGCTGTTTTAATTCTCTGTGATTGCAACCAACAGTGGCAATTCCCAGCATTTTGGGTTTGTTAGCTCTGTGCCGCAAGGAGCCCAAGGGCTCCGCAGGGGACCCTGGGAGGCTGGCCAGGCACATTGACGCGCGTCCATCCGTGCCTCCCGGGGACCAGCCCTGCAATTACTTTCTATACTTTGGAGTCCCAGGTAAGCTTGCATTTGTTCAGAGGGTTCCAGGCTATGCATCTAAAGGCAACCACATTTGTCACTTATGCTTTTTTTTTTTTAAGTGCTGAGACCAAAAGAACTTTGACAATACTGGCTTGGATTTCTTTCCTTGGTCCTGGGGCCTTTACTAAAGAGTGGAAGAGCAGCAATTCTTCCAGAAAAGTCCTAAGGAAAGCTAGGATCACCCCCTGCATGGGGGTGAGAGACTCCTGAGAAATACATCCCCGGCAAAGACCCAAGACCCAAGGACATAAAAAAAAATACTCCAGTAATCACCTTTGCTGTGATTCAGAAATTCCTCAGTAAATATAGGGATGTCAAAAACAGATCTCTCTTTTACTTCTGCTTCTTTCTGCAAGTCAAGAACACAAGTTAGTTCTTACACAGAGGCTAGATAAATCACAGTGCCTGGGGCACAATCATCCCGGTGTCCTTGGGGAAACAGTAGAGTGAGAGCAGGAATTGGTCCAGGACAGCCCGGAAGAGAATATGTCTCACCAGAATTAGTTCTCTTAGATGCAGAACTGCTGTGTGTGAGAAACCTTTAAACAAACCGACATGCATTGCTTGAATGATAAATTTGCAAGTCTTTCCTTCCTTCCTTCCTCCCTCTCCTCCCTTTCTGGTGCTCTACCGGGGCTTGAACTCAGGGCCTGGGCACTGTCTCAGCTTTTTTGCTCAAGGTTGGTGCTCTACCACTTGAGGGACAGCTCCACTGCCAGTTTTTTGGTGATTCCATTGGAGCTAAGTGTTAGATATTTAAAGAGGCTGCTGCTGAGTAAGAACACCACGCACATGGTATTATTCAGGTAAGGGATAGGTTTATTCAGCGGACTGGCTTGCACCAGGCTAGGTTGGCACGGGAGAAGGTGGGCCAGGTAAAGGGAAGTGGGACCAGGTAAGAGGACATGGGACCAGGTGGGAAAAAGGTGTGGCCATTATCAGATGCAGATGTGACCTCTCCCAGGTGTGCCAGTTGCCTAGGTAACACAGGTTCTCGGCAGAGACTTGGTCCTCAAGGAGAGAGGAGTCTGCTCACCATCCAGGGCTGACCTTACACTAAGGGTTTCATGGACCTTTCTGCCCAGGTTGGCTTTGAACCAGGAATCCTCATATCTCAGCTTCCTGAACAGTTAGGATTATAGAAGTAAGCACTTTTTAGCTCTGTGTGTTTTTTGTTTTGTTTTGGGTCTGTTGTGGGGCCTGAACTCTGCCTGGACACTGTCCCTCAGTAATTCAGCTCAAGGCTATCACTCTACCACTTAAGCCACAGTGCCACTACCGGCCTTTTCTGCTTATGTGGTGCTGAGAATCGAACCCAAGGCCTCAAACATGCAAGGCAAGCAGTCTACCACTGAGTCATCTTCCCAGCCCCATAGCTCTCTGATTTGAATAGTCCAACAATATAGAGTTGTGAACATAGCTGGGGCAGGAAATAATTAAGAAAGGCTGTTTTTTCAATCATTTCTGTTGGTTGTTCATGTAAAATGGGGAGATAAGATTGTGCATTCTAAATGTGCAGAGTGGACAGATCCATTAAACAGAGATCTTCCTGCCATGAGAACTAATAATGGTATTCTATCAGCACTTCTGTTTCTTAAGAAGGCACAGGCTATCTTTGGGGTTCTTGTAGTCTTTTCTTCAGACAGAAAAAAACCCAAAAAACAAAAACCAACCAATCAACCAAAAAACTCAGAAATAAACAGGCTCTATAAATGAGAACATTAAAGATAATATGAGATAGGAAAAAAATAACAAGGCCTAAAATTAATTCACCAATGAACCATTAACATAAAAGTCTTACAAGGACCATACAAAATATATTCAACTACGATCCGTAAGAACAGAGTCAGTATTTCAAGATGCTTTGGCTGCCATTTCAACAATGCACATGAAGTTGAAAGTATAATGAATATAAATTATAGGTGTCTTGGCCAGGTGTTTAAAAATCTTGCATAATATCAGTCAGTAAAGAGAACGGTATGGAAGGAGTGCAGAAGAAATTACTGCTAAAACCTGAAGGCTCCAAAATCTTTAGAACATGATAAACAGTGAAGAAAATATCCAGAAATTATTCCTATAAAAACATGTTTAAAGGGAGAGATAGAATGTTATCGTTTTTCTTGTTTCCACTGGGTTTTTTTTTTTTTTTATTGTAAAGATACTATACAGAGGGTTACAGTTGCATGAGTGAGGTAATGAGTACACTTCCTCTTGAACATTGTTACCCCCTCGGTTGTTTTCCCCCTACCATCCCCTCCCTCCCTACCTTCCCCGAGGTTCTTTTTTTATTGTGATTAAGTGATTACATAATTTCCCGAATTTCACAGTATTGTGGAATAATGATGCTCATTTAAAGTCACAAGTTCATTCTAACTTTCCTGGAGCAAATTGTCTATCACAGTCTGTAACATATAATGGTGTTCACATGTTATATACCATATATGTGATCAGCAGCATGGGGATATTTAGTAGTGGTTCAACCAGATGAGTGGGAGTTCTTTGTTTCTTAAGTCCTGTTAGTTTTGTCGTATCACCTAACATTTTGGATTTAGCATCCACTTATCAGGGAGACCATGTACCGTTTGTCTCTTTGCTCTTGGCTTACCTCACTCAACATGATTCCTTCTAGCTCCATCCATTTCCCTGCAAATGCCATTATTTTGTCATTTCTAATGGCTGCATAATATTCCATTGTGTATAGATACAACAATTTTTGGATCCATTCATCTGTGGTGGGGCATCTGGGTTGTTTCCATATCCTAGCTATTGTGAACAGTGCTGCAATAAACATGGAGGTGCACGTGTCCTTGTATATTGGTTCCTGTTGTTCAGGGTAGATGCCTAGAAGTGGTATGACTGGGTCGTAAGGGAGGTCAATCTTTAGCTTTCTAAGGACCCTCCAGACTGCTTTCCAAAGTGGTTGTATGAGTGTACATTCCCACCAGCAGTGTAATAGGGTTCCTCTTTCTCCACATCCCCTCCAGCATTTGTCGTTGGCTGATTTGTGGATGTGGGACATTCTGACTGGGGTAAGGTGGTATCTCAGGGTTGTCTTTATTTGCATTTCCTTCACCACCGGGGATGATGAACATTTCCTCATGTGTTTCTTTGCCATTTTTATCTCTTCTTCTGAGAAGTCCCTCTTTAGTTCCCTTGCCATTTTGGAATTGGTTTGTTAGGTTTGGGAGGGATTACTTTCTTGAGTTCCCTGTATATACAGGATGTTAACCCCTTGTCTGATATATTGCTGGTAAATATTTTTTCCCAACTAGTTGGTTATCTTTCTAGCTTGGTTGCAATAGATTTAGCTGTGCAGAAGCTTTTTATTTTAAGGTAGTCCCATTTGTCGAGTCTCTCTCCAACTTGTTGTGACCCTGGGACTCTGTTCAGGAAGTTCCTTCCTGTGCCTATTAGTTCAAGTGTCTCTCCTACTCTGTCCTGCAGTAGTTTCAGAGATTCAGGTTTAATGTTAAGGTCTTTAATCCATTTTGAGTTGATGTTGGTGCATGGTGATAGGCTGGGGTCCACTTTTAGTCTTCTGCATGTGGCCGCCCAGTTTTCCCAGCACCAACGGTTAAAGAGGCTGTGTTTCTTCCATTGTATGTCTTTGGCTCCTTTGTCGAATATCAGCTGGCTGTAGGCCTGTGGATTTATTTCTGGATCTTCTATTCTGTTCCATTGGTCTTTGGGTCTGCTTTTGTGCCAGTACCATGCTGTCTTTGTTATTACAGCTCTGTAGTAGAGTTTGAAGTTCGGCATGGATAGCCCTCCCATATTGTCTTTATCCCCTAGAATTGTTTTGGCTATTCTAGGTCTTTTGTTGTTCCATATGAATTTTTGGACTGTTTTCTGTATTTCAGTGATGTACGTCATTGGGATTTTAATAGGAATTGCATTGAGTTTGTATATTAGTTTTGGAAGTATCACCATCTTTACTATATTAAGTCGGCCTATCCAGGAGCATGGGAGGGTTTCCACTGGTTTTGTCTTTGAACACAGAAGTGATTTGATGCCCAGTGTAAAAGCTAAGCAATTCGCAGCCTGTGGAGAATCACGGGCGCTGTGCTCCTGTTTCCCTCTGCTATTGGCATAGCAAGGGGCTGGTGGATGCAGCAGATCCAGACAGACATTTAAGATGGAAATCTGGCTAGGAACTGGTGGCTCATGCCTGTAATCTTAGCAATTCACGAGGCTGAGAGCTGAGGATTGCGGTTCAAAGTCAGGTGGGGCAGGAAAATGAGACTCTTTTTTGTTGTTGTTTTCTGGTGGGATACTGTTCCTAAAGTCTTACACTCAAGACTAAAACTCTACCACTTTGAGCCACAGTGCTACTTCTAGTTTTCTGGTGATTAATTGGAGATAAGAGTCTTATAGACTTTCCTACCTAGGATAGCTTTGAACTGCAATCCTCAGATCTCAGCCTCCTGAGTAGCTAGGGTTACAGGTGTGAGCCACATCCCATTTCTTTTTTTTTTTGGTCGGCTGTGGGGCTTGAACTCTGGGCCTGGGCGCTGTCCCTCAGCTCTTCAGCTCAAGGCGAGCGCTCTACCACTTGAGCTACAGCGCCACTTCCGGTTTTCTGGTGGTTTATTGGAGATAGGAGTCTCACGGTCTCTCCTGCCCGGGCTGGCTTTGAACCGCGATCCTCAGATCTCAGCCCCCTGAGTAGCTAGGATGACAGGCGTGAGCCACCAGCGCCCGGCCACATCCCACTTATTTCTGTGAGACTTATCTCAAAGTGGTAGAGCAGAAAAGTTCAGGGACAGCATTCAGGCCCTGAGTTCTAGCCCCATGACTGGCGGTACGTTCCTATATCCCTAGCACTCAGAGGCTGAGGCAGGAGGATTGCAAGTTTGAGGCCAGCCTAGGCTAAAAATTGAAACTCTGCCAAAAAACAAAACCAAACAAAAAAACCAGGAGCAGTGGCTTAACCTGTGATTCCAATTATTTAGGAAGCATAAATAATAGGACTTAGGTCCAGGTTCTCACAGACAAAACTATCTGAAAAACAAAGCAAGAAGGTTTTGGGGAGGTGGGCATCAGGAGGACTGGGGTTCGAGGCTCACCCAGATGAAAAATCCATCATGGGGTGGTATGTGCTTGCCTGTGTTGAAAGCATAAATAGGAGGCGCACAGTCCAGATAAAACTGCAGGCCCTATCTGAAAAATAACTAAGGTAAAAAGAATTTGGGGCGTGGCTCAAGTGGTAACCTAGCAATGGAGGCCCTGGATTCAAACCCCACTACTGTTAGAGAGAGAGAGAGAGAGAGAGAGAAAAAGGAATTTGAAAAACTATTACATGAGGAATAGTTCATTTCAGAGCACTTAATTTCTACCATATCTTTTTCC